TGCTACCATAGTTAGGCCATAGCATTCATATTACCTCCCTAATATGTTTTGACGAAAATTGATGCTATAGATAAATTGAACAACTTGCTTATGACGCCTTCTCTCAGTTTCTTGACTCGTTGTTTATGTGTTGCTTTATTGCTTAATATTTCTTTACTTTGTGATTACTTGCTTTTACTTGAGAGTTGGAATGGACCCGTCCTGAATGGGTCATGTGCATTGTGTGATGTCAGGTACTGATTGTATTTTGTGTTATCTTGTGTTAGTCTAGAACTTGCCCGGTGTGTTAGTTGAAGCGAAATCATTAAGTCGCATAAGTCTAGGAGATGATGTAGGCATTTCTTTGATCGTTCATTGAGCTATTATGCCATCTCAAAGAAAATTATCCTTAGATAGCCCAGTGAACCTATAAACCTTATCTTTGGCACCCACATTACAAGCCGAATCTCATTTTGTTCTTACTTGAAACCTTGTTGAACTTGTGCCTTTGAAAGCACTTAAGTCGCTGAAGAATAAGGTGAGAGTTGAGTTAGCTTTTAAGTGGAACCATAGAAAGACCGAAGGGTGCATATATGTTTTGAGATCATCAGCCGGGCACACTTAAATTTATGGAGAGTGTTGGAAAAAAAAAAGAGAAAAGCAAAGAAAGTACAAAAAGAGAAAAAAATGAAAAAATAGAAAATATCTCCTATCCATCTTTATCCGAGCTAATAAATGTATAGATGTGTTTAAAGAGAAAGGGCTAAATTGTATATGGTTCATGCCATGGCTTGAGTTGGTCATGAAGAGTGTGCACTTGAAAGTTAAATGTAGTGTACTAAAGTGCTTACGAGGATTAGTCACTATACCAAAATATATCTTACCCGTCCTTCAGCCTCCATTACAACCTGCAAAGACCTAATTGCTCCTAGACTTTGCAAGCTTAGATTAGTATAGATATACACTACGAGCAAGCCTATGGTACGACCGCAGGATGTACACGAATTTCCTTGTGAGAGTGAGTGGTTCTTTGTTCGTGTATGTGATGTCCTTAAATTATATTCGAATGCACATTTGAATGTGTGGATGAAATACTCTCTTATTCTTTGGTGAGGCACATGATTCTATAAAGGATAGACGATGTTATTAACATCTCTTATTGGGTGAGTGCACGAGTTGAGAGTGCTTGTTGGCGAGGAATCAGGCTTTGAGGTTGGGTGGTTATGGGCAGGTTGTTTGAGTGTTTTAAATTGTTTACCACTATTCAGGCATGAGAAAGTTAGGGAAGGTATGAATGCGTATGCAATGGTTTAATTGTTGGTATCAACCATGATCATATGTGTAGTGTGTTAAATTGCTAAATTTTCCTCCATCGTATGATGTCTTGCGTTGCATTGTTTAATTAGCAAGGTTTTAGGTTGCTCGAGGACGAGGGATAGCTTAAGTGTAGGGTGGTAATGTTTGGCTAAAAATCCATATTTTTGCATGTAATTTTCCTTGCATTATGCCTAGATCTTATTAACTTTAGTGTGAATATGTGTGACTCGAGCTAAATAATGGTATTTATATGTGTAGGCGTCAATTGGGAGTGATTTGCAAAGTTTGCACGCAAAATGAAGTAAAAACGGAAGAATCTGGAGAAAGTATAAGTTTGGTGCCCAGGTCCCGGATAGCGAAGCAATGTTCACTTTGCCATAACGGGACCGGAGCAGAAGAAACCAGAAAAGTCCCGGACAGGGAAGAGAGGTTCACTTCGCTAGACCGGGACCGAAGCAGAAAACCTCGCTTCCCTGTCCGGGACCGAAGCAAAAAAAATCAGCTTCTCCAATCCGAATTAGGAGAAGCCCAATTCACCCCATACAAACCCTAGCCGCTATAAATACATCAAAAAACGTGCTTTTGAAGGGGAGACACTATTTTGAAAGGAGAGAAGACTTTGGTCACATTATTTGGAGGCAAGAACATCACGTAGAATAATTTTTGGAGGAGAAAATCATCGAGTTCTTCATTCCTTCATCATTTCTTTGTAATTTGTTTATGCAAAATACTTGTAAAATTATTACTACGAACATGAGTGGCTAAACACTCTAGTTTGTAGGGTGTGTTGGCATGATTATTAACGTTTATTAATTACATCTTCGTTAATTCAGATTATCATCTTGTGGTTGTTTCTTTAAATTCTAGTTTTAACTTGTGAATTGTTGTAGCTACCAGTTCACCCTACTATCTATGCTATGCTTGGGAAAGCCGTGTTTAGATTAGAGTAGAATTAAAGAGAGCTTATTTTTGAACCCGTGGCTCGGGAAACGATTTCGCAGTTAGGATAGGAATATACCTAACAGTCTTACTTAGTTGAATACCGTATTATATTCATTCATGATAGACTCAATACTATAGGAATATAGGATTGATATATCGTGGATGGGCGAGTAGTATTGTGGGAACATGCTATTCATATAAACAATCTGGTCAATTAGCAACCATTGATAATCTGGATTAACAAGTATGGTTATTGAACTTAATATGATTGATAAATGGACCACAACCCTGGAATCTTCATCGCCTCTGAGTAAAATCCAAAAACACACTTTTGCATCCTTAATAAATTAGCTAATTACTTCTTCGATTTATGCAAAAGTAGTTTAGTAGAAAAATAATATTTTTGATTATCTTGGACATTTAATTGATTTTAGTTAACTTAGTTAACGATTAATCTAAGTCTCTGTGGGTTCGACATCCAACTTTCGAGTTACTTTATTAATTAACAGCCACGTATTGTATTTGGGGAACCAACACTTTACTTTTAGGAGTTAATTGTAGTTGATAGCATCCCAATCAAATGTTAATTTTCCTGGATAGAAATTAACTAGAGATTATTCGAACACTGTTTAAATCTAATCCATTTGGGGACGATAATTAAATTATACTATCTTTGACTAGCGAGTATTAATTTTGTGTTATATTTTGCGCTCCTCAGCGTCACTTCTTGTACTTTATACGAAAGAGATAAAGAGAAAAAGAAGAATACCGTATGCCCTTCACCTTAAGTCCTACGGTTACTTCGCATTACCTCATATCATATCATATCTAAAGCCACCGTTTTGAAGAAAAAAAAAAGAGGGTTTCAACTACCAATTTATATACTCCTATCATTAGGGCTGCTTATCGGGCGGATTGGACGGTTATTTACTCTTAACGGTTTGGCTTATCGGTTATCGGCTTTTAAATGTATTAATCCGCTAGCCACCCGATAAGATATCGGGCGGATTGGTATCGGTTTAGCTCTTATCGGGCGGTTATTAGGCGGTTTATCGGCCTAATTCAATCTTTATTGCGTGCATTAATTGTTTGCTGACCGCTGACTCAAAATAAAATTCCTATGCTCAGCAGACTACATTCCAGTCTATACTCTATAGAATACAATAGATGAGTCCATGACAAGGGTTCAAGGCTTACTATTCCAACAAACAAACTAAGGTATTCTGCATTTCCTTGCTACAGTTAACACAACTCATATTGAAATTAATCACATGTCTCAACCGAATGATCTTAGAACCCGAAATTCACCAAACATGTATGTAAACCATAGCTAATCTATAGTGTGAAAAAGTCCTTGCTTCAATAAGTCTTGGCTTTCCAGTACTCCAAGCAAACACAATGGACAGACACCTAGTTGGAGATAGAGTACTGGAAGTGGAAGAAGGGTTTTTGATTATTTAATATATATGGATAGAAATANTATGTATTCTTAACGGGTTAATGGATTATCCGTTAAGAAAATTAAATAATCTGCCCCCAAACCGATAAGCGGTTAATAAAAAAAATTCATCCGTTCCTCGTCCGTTGAACCGTTAACCCGATACCAATAAGCCATTAAGCTTCGGTTTCGGTTCGGTTTTCGGTTTCGGTCCGATTTTGAACACCCCTACCTGTCATACTCCAAACTGCAAACAGGTAGGCATGTGTTGGTTTTTCTAAAAGATGGGGCATCAAAAATATTAAAATTATTGATTGAAAATGTCTCTCAGTAACTTTATTAAGCATAACAAGACTTTAAATAGCCAACTTAGAAACAGAATCTGCAGAATAAATATTCAAATCAAAAACCTAAATTATCTCAACTAACTTATCCAATTAAATTTAAATCTAAACAAGGACTCCTCCTACGACTAAAATACTTTTTATTGTAGTAAATCAAATATCAGCAGTAACAAATGCAAAATCCAACACTCCTCCTTGCTTTTGTTGCTGCAATCTATAAAGGTTGATCCTCCTCAATTTCTGCTTCTATTGTTTGTGCTTGAGGATTTTTTCAAGTGTTTTTGAACTTGCATCCTCCTGCAATATGACTTGTTCTTTCTTTTCTTTTTCTTTTTGGTTTTGTGCAAAAAAAATAATCTCAGCAACTTTGTCTTGTCTGAAGGTTCTTCCAAAAGAGTTTTAATTTGGGTAATGATAAGAGTTGCATGGAGTGGTTGTAATGATCTTTCTTCTATTATAACATTCCATAAATCATAGGTTTCAAAATACGATTTTATTTTCACTAACAAAATCTGATAATTTTCGTCAGTAAGAGTTTGTGGGGCATTCAACGAGAGACTGCTGCTTGGCATGTTTGAAAATGAGTTTAAAAATCGATATTGGTTAAAAATGATTTGAAATGGTTCTTTGGAAGAACTCACAGATCCCGTAAAACCAATGAAGCTCTTGATACCACTGTTGATTTTTTTTAAAAATAAAGGGGCAGCAAAAATATTAAAATTACTGATTGAAAATGTCTCTCAATAATTTTATTAAGCAAAACAAGGCTTTAAATAGCCAACTTAAAAATAGAATCTGCAGAAAATCTGCAGAATAAATATTCAAGTTCAAAAACCTAAATTATCTTAACTAACCTATCCAGTTAAATTTAAATCTAAACAAGGAATCCTCCTACGACTAAAATACTTTTTATTGTAGTAAATCAAATATCAGCAGAAACAAATGCAAAATCCAATGGCATGCAACACAATTAATCCATCTACTAAAAAGAGATCCACATTTGTAAAAGAATCTTATTTACAACCATATTATTCAAGTTAACAACAAAATGAAGTGCTAATTAAAGTAGTGATCACTTCAGCTTTCAAAGTGTCAATTGGGCTTATGAAACTGAATATATCTACAAACTCTATCTGCATTATTTACGTCCAAATCATCATTAAAAAAAAGTACTCAACAGATGATTAATGCTGCTAATTAACTAGCTAATTCCTTGCTTCAGCCAGCAAAAATCCAACGAACCCAAGCATGAAAATTTAATCAAACTTATTATCACTAGGAGAGGTAGATTTACCCTTGGGTGCTGAAAATGGCAATGAAGAATTAGGTTGCGTGAAAAACACCAGGTTATTATTTGCAGACTGTGTATTTGCGGAAGAAGAAGTTGGTTTATTCAAAAAAGTTGAAGCTGAATTATTTCCAATGCCAGTATTTCCAATGATTGACGTAAGAGCAGCAGCTAATGCAGAGTGGAAATTTGGGTCTGATGTTATTGCTTTTGTTGCAGCTGAAATTGCGTCTGGTGGTAAAGAAGCAGATTGTGTATTATTTCTTTGTAAATAAGATTGGAAAAGATTTTCTTGAGTTGGTCTTGATGAGAAGGCAAGAGAAGCAATATTTTGGTTCTTGTTATAGGCTTGATTTGCATAATTAAGCACTCCATTGCTCCAAGAAATGGGAAGAGGATTGGATTCCAATGAACTAAAGTTGAGGACATTTGCGGACGAATTATTATTATATCTAGCTGGGGGGAAAGTACTAGTACTACCCATTCTGGTAAGATGAGAAAGGGAAGAGGAGGATGAGGTGGAAGTCAAATCAAGAGTTATTGTAGGGAGGGAATTAGGTGCAGATGATGATGAAAAGGATGAATTTGGAAAGTAAAATGGTGGCTTTGATTTTGAGGTATCAGATAGATAGAAGTTGAGTCCGTTGAGATTGGCTGAGGTGGTGGTGGCGGCGGCGGCGGCGGCGGTTACTTGTGGACTTGGGTCTGATGAGCTGGACGAACCGGATAAGAGCATGGAAGCGGCTGCTGCGGTGGTGGAAGCCATTGCTGTGGCTGCAAGAGGAAGAGGGTGGTTGTGTGTTCCTTCATATGTGGTGATCAATATTGACATGTCCTCAGCACATCTTTGAACCTGAAAATTAAACCAAGAATATTGTGGCTATTAATTAGCTATAGAGTAGCAAAGCAATTTCATTACATGATGATAGATAAAAATTGCATGATTACGGTGTAAAAAATGTTATAACTATACGCTGTTAGTATATATAAGTTTTATCCATAATAAGGTATAAATAAGCTTTTGTAACGCAAACTTTCAGGAGGTCATAAATTGCCACTAGCATAAAAAAAATTCACAAACTGTATATTTTTTATATATAGCTCAATTTAAATTTAATTGTATAGATTCAATGTAACATGACATTTACATTACCTGCTTTCTAACTGGGCAAGATTGTGCTACTGTGCAACGATAGTAAGCTCGAGGGCATGGATTTCCTTTGGCAATTTTTTGACCATATTTTCTCCATTGGCATCCATCGTTCATCTGATCAATATGACAAAAAAATTAAAGGAAAAATCATCAGTAACACAATACATAGATTAGATTGTATTCTTTACTCATAATATTAAAAACCTTAACCAGAGGTTTCGGATTCGAACCCTGAGTATGGAGTCGCCTTTGTTAGGGAGTGCTTTACCCCCAATGTCGGACTTCCGGCGCGAATCCGGATTTAGTCGGGGCCCAATACAGGTACCGGACACCGGATGGATACCAATATATATATACAAACTCAACTAATTTCAAAAAGTGCATGCACTGTAAATCCTTACCGTAGGGGCATCACATCTGACTCTAACAGAAACCCTAGCTCTTTTAGTAGGGTTTTGTTGAGAAACATCATCATCTCCATTTCTCATTGTCTTGAGAATTTTGTTTGTCTCTCCATTTTCTTCCTTAGTTTCTTCTAAGCTATTCTCTGGACTGAGATTAACAGGTGAAGATTCTGTCGTAGGAGTTGTTTTAGCAGACATTTCAAACTTGCAATCCAATCCTAGTGTTAATCCCCCAGCTTTATATTCTTCTTCATCATTATTATAATGAGCCTTATCTTTGCTAAATATTTTAGACAACTCTTCTGTTTTCATATCGCTCGATGTCCTTCCTAAGCAAAGGGAAACAAGTTGATCAGCTTCTTGATCAGATTCATGATGTGTAGTATTCACAGTACTGCTGGATTTTTCAGCTTCCTTTTGGGCAATATCATGGAATTGCATCTGAAGGTTTCGATAATCCTTCATGATTCGATCCAAGTGCATTCGCAGCCTCTGATTTTCTTCCATTACCTCTCGCATTTCAACTTTGGCTGATGCGAGCTGATCATTCTACAAATTCACACACACACAAAAAAAAAAATAAGAATTTGTACCTCCTGATTGAGTTTATTTTGTCTACCTTTATAACTCGCTCTATAAGTGCACTAGCAATACGCCAATACAACACTAGTATAAATATATACTAGGGTTCAGGTGTCTAATTAAGCAAATTAAATATATACTAAGAATCAGATATTGAAGATGTCATTTTTTTGGTATTATGAACGGATTAGTTCATTTATATTACAACAACAACAACAACCCAGTAGAATCTCATTAGTGGGGTATGGGGAGGGTAGAGTGTACGCAGACCTTACCCCTACCCCGAAGGGATAGAGAGGCTATTTCCGAGTAACCCTCGGCTCAAAGACATTAGATCCGTAACAACATAAGCCAGAAAAATAGTATCAACATCGTAAATACAGCAAATAAATAGAAAGGCCAAAATGTGAAAGACAACAAAAATGTGTATGTATTCATCAAATAGCTTATTAGCGGGGTCATCACCAGAGAATATGAAATTTTCCATGTTTACTTAAAATATATATAAGAATCCGTGTTTCAGATCCGATCATATATGTCCAAATCCTTTTTAAATTTTACTATATTTTGTCTTTTATCCCAGAGTAACCCCAAAAAAAAAAAAAATTAATAATAAACTCAGACCTGTTCTTTCTGAGTGGATGAAGATGCCATTGAGTTGAGTTCTGGTGGCGATCTTTCTCTCTTTACCATGACAGCAGTTCCCTGTTGAAGCATTAAAGTTAGATAATAAAAAAAATCTGTAAATGCACTACAATTATCGTCAAAAAGTCATGAAAAGTCGCATCTGGATCGATTAATAAAGATGACTACAGCATACATTAATTCAACGGTCAAATGTTTAGAAAAAGCTGAAAATAGTTCGACAACTTGCTGCTGGTTTACGACTTTTCCTACAAAAACATTTCAGCAACAACTTGGTCGGCTTATTGCGTCTGGAGCCTCCAATTAATCAGGTTTCACATTTTTACTGCACCTATATATATATATATATATATTTCTCTTCTACCAGCTCACTGTAAAATTATTTGAAAATTTTATCAAGATTTTGATATATTCGTAACTGTGACGTTATCAACCTAACTACTAATTTACATATACTATAAGCAACTTTATACGTATTTTTTATTTTTATTTTGGTGAAATCAACAATTATCAAGAAGATAATTAAACCATGCACGTATAAATAAAGTTTAATTTCTAGTAGGAATAACAACCCCATGATATAATGGACATGAATCAGTATAAAATGATTTTGTTTTACTCATAATTAATTTACCTCATTATCAAGGGTGAAATCCTTGTGCTGAGGAGAGGATGGCTTTGACTTATCATCCTCACGCTCTTTTCTTCCCTTCCCAACCTGAAGCACAACAAATATTTTAAGTATAAACTAATTATACAACAAACTCGCGTTAATTATTTCTTGTTTGTTCATGTGATCAATCAACATCAATCTTTTGTTTCCTCTATATATGGTGGTCTCTGATGAGGTGAAGAAGATCGGATTGTTAAAGATAATAATGCATGCGCACATTTCCAATTTTTTTTTTTTTTTTTTAGGATTTAATAGTTCATATGTTAAGAATGATGCAGAGATTACTTAAAAGGTTGGATCAACAAAGCTTTTAGACAACATGTTATGTTCATAAGTCTAATTTTAAAATACAGAATATCTAGATCATAGACAGTGCTGTGTTGTTAAAAGAAATACCTTAAGGAAAATATTTTCTGCACAACTTTCACGATCAGGACTAGATTCAGCTTTGTTCTTGTTTTCCTCTTTGACTACACCCCCATGAATAGAATTTCTCAAAGTGGCCTCCATATATGGCATATAGACCTTAGTTATCTTCTTATTATCTCCTTTTCTCTAGCTAGATCTCTTTGTCTGAATTCCAAATTTTAGCAATATCTGAAAAGAAATAGTAGTCTTCTATATAAGGAGGGGAGGCAGCAGTGTTTGACTTCTTTTAGACTAATTAAAGGATTCAAACTCAGTGGCTTAACAGCACACAAACAAAAATGTCAATGCACCAATTGCTCACAACTTAAAGTAATATACTAGTAATATTTTATATATTGTCTTACTTGGAAAAAAAAAACTCATTAAAAAACGGGTGGAAGAAGAATTCAACTTCAACGTTTAGGTCTTTTAGATAGGATTTGTAACATGTCAGAAAGAGAGTTATACTCCGCAATGGTAGGTCTCTCCCACCATCTCTGGGCTTTATATTATCCCCTTCTCTCTGCAACTTGCAACAGCTATTGTTCAAGTTTCCTACGTTAGAGGAAGTCACATGGCCACATTATTTGCCGGTCAAACGGGTAATAAGTAACACCCTTTAATTAACCGGTTATGACAAGTTTTTAACTTTTTAAAGGTATTTCATGCTTACTGGTCTGACTAATCCGGATTCGTTCATATATAGTAAGGGGTAAAGCACTAGTTCCATACCAAAATTTCTCTATTTTCATACCTCTTGCCTCTTTATGGTAATTATTTAACTCGATTTCTCATGCTTATAAAATATTAGGTTGCTTGCTGTGGTTATCTATTTTTATCGATTATTCTAATCTAATGACATGTAAAAATTATATTTTTTTTAGGGTACAAAATTTAAGCTCGGAAAATATTTACAAGTCAAACGTTCTTTGGTTCAAACGAAAAAATTAATGATGAGTCTACAAATCGACCTTTGAATTGGGAAATTCTTACTGACGAAATAAAATTTATTTGGTTGTTGTAGAGGAAATGAAAACAAAAAGGTCATCTAAGTTCGTTTAAAGAGGTTTACACTTTCTTCTTTTTTACCTCTCTTACAGAAAAGTGAACTTAGATTCTTTACAAGAATAAAGGAATTAAAGTCCATCAAATCATCAAATTGTATTGGCCCTTTCAAATGGACCATCGAATGTCGGGAAGCTAACCTATCATTTGATGAGTCCGGAACTGAAATGTAGTCTTTTTGGACTCAAAATACTTAATTAGGTGGAAAAAAAACTTAGTTACCAAAATATGTAAAACGCAGTAATGAACCACGTTTTACCTCAATGTCCGTTTGGGACGTTCAGGTAAAACGTGGTTCATTACTGCGTACTATATAAAACGCTTTTTAATAATGCATTTTTAGGTAAAACGCCTTTTAATATCGCGTTTTACATGTTTTGTGGGCCCACCAATAACTCTTCTGCGCTTAACTGACATAACAATAATTTAAATATGTAAAACGCCCTTTTAAACTGCGTATTATTTCCAAAAATTTGACCCCTCCCCCCCCTCCCGGATTGGGCATTGCCTTATTTAAAGGCGTTAAGGGTTTTGAGAAAAATCATTCAGAAATACTCCAACTTCGTGATAAATTTTTCTTGTTGTTAAATTATCAAACTTTTTTCATAATGTCTGAAGAGCGAAAAGTAAGGGTTTTATTATATTGGGGAGGGGGTGGGGTGAGGTTGTGGTGGCGAATAACTCAGTGAGCTATAGTTTATCTCCACAGAGTCATGTTAAGTTGCCTTTTACAATGGAGTACGATAGACTGGTATCGTTGTTATGCAATAAAATGAGGTTGAGCAAACGTTCGGTGAATCTTAAAATAACTGGAAGATATCCGTATTCTGTGACTCCGTAAGGGGTTGCTTGTTACGCTGAGTTTAACATCGAGGATGATGAAACTCTGAGAGATTTTTTGGGGACTCCGGATGAATACCGGGAACTTATTTTGATAAAAATGTTGGAAATGTACGTGAAGGTTGAATACGTTCGCAATAATGATGTTGCGCAAAGCAGGGATAACCCTCAATCATTAGGTGGTTATTCTGGAGCAGTTTTAGCCCAACAGCCTTCAGCTGAAAGAGTTTTGCCGGATCTAAACTTATCTCTACGGGCGAACGAGGAGCGAGGAAATAATTTCTCTCCTACTTTACATAATCCACAAGACGACTGGTAAACTTCAATTTTCCTTTGTGTTACGATATTTATTTTTGTTGTATTGAATTTGTATTAACATTCATATATTCCACAGGGGGTACCGTCCAGATATGAATTTTACAAGTTATGACCCCACGCCCAGTTGGAATATGCGTAGATTTGGTGTGTTGGATCACGATGGTCCATCCGGGAATCATCACCAACAGGATAATGTCCATCATGGAATGTCAACACATTACGACTTGTAAGTGAAGAGATATAGCTATATGTAAAGTATTTATCAATTTGAGTAGCTTATTATTTTGTTGTTTATGCAGTGAAAACGAGCAACTTGATGGTCCTGACCTCCCTCAGTTGCCCGTAGACGATGTATTTCCTCGAGATTTGGCAGATGCGCAAAGTTAGAAAGATGATAGTGATTGTGACAACAATGCCGATGAGTCTGGAGATGACACACCCTTCCCTGACGAGGGTGATGATGAGGAGGAAGTGAATGTCGAACCTGAGCTAACGAGGGAGCATGCTCCACCTCCCGTTAGACCAAGAGTGTACGAGTCCCACGTGCCGTTTCATTCAAGGCATATTCCCTACCTTGATAATTTGCCAAGTATGCCAGATGTGGATGCCCTCACAAGGAATCTTGATGAAATTCGGACAGCAATGTGGGATGAGTCTAGACCAACGGTGCTGGCAAAGGGCATGTTTTCTCCCAATAAAGCTCGCCTAACCAGGGCTTGTAAAATGTACAGCATAAGAGAGTGTCGTGAGATGATAGTATGGGAGTCAAGTCCGGAGGTATACAAGGTTGTTTGCCGTAGATGGTTTATGGGTTGTCACTGGATGTTGCGTGATACCAAGAAGGAAACAGGGTTGTGGAAAGTGGGTAGATATATTGGCACCCACAATTGTGAAATGGACATATTCAATGGGAATCACTTCAACTTGGATGTTGACTTGATTTTTCTTCAACTGATTCCACACATTGAAGTATCCATTAGGTACAAGACCAAAGAGTGTATTACATCCATCCACCAGGTATATGGATGTACTATTACCAAAAGAAAGGCATATCTCGGGCGCAAACGTGCATTTGAAATTGTTTATGGTGACTGGGATAAGTCATTTGCATCTCTACCCAGGTACATGGCCGCAGTGAAACACTTTAACCCCGGGACTGTTGTTGAATGGAAGCTTGAGCAGAGTGCAGGAATACCGAAATATATATATATATATATATCCAGATACGTGTTCTAGGCATTTAAACCAGCAATTGATGGTTTTGTGAATTGTCGTCCGGTAATTTCCATAGACGGTACTCATGTCTATGGAAAGTATGATATTAAGCTGTTGATCGCCGTTGCAGTAGATTCCAATGGACAAATATTTCTACTAGCTTTTGCCATCCGTGCCAATGAAAGTCAAGAGAGGTGGACGCTATTTTTGAACCACTTGAAGCAGCACGTTGTCAAACAACGTTCAGGTATTTGTCTAATATCTGATCGGCATGGTGGTATATTAAGTTCAGTAGAGCATTTGCCTGAATGGAAGGAACCCTATGCATACCACCGTTACTGTGTGAGGCACCTGAAGGCCAATTTCCAGAAGAAATATCCCAACAAGTACTGCATGATTTAATGTGGATGGCTGCAACTGATCACCAGCAGTGCAAATTCAGGAGGTGCATGGAATCGATCCGGCAGTCAGACGAAAGAGCCAATAATTGGTTGATGTGACATGAGCTTCACAAGTGGACATTGCATGCTGATGGTGGCAGACGATGGGGAGCCCTAACTACAAATGTGTCGGAGTCTTTCAACGGGTTATTGAATTCTGCACATAGATTTCCTGTCACTGCCATGGTCCGGATGACATTCAAACAGATGGCGGAGAGGTCTGTTGAAAGGCATAGGGGTGCATCAGAATTGATGTAGAGGGGTGTTGAATTTATGCCAATACGGATGAAAAGATTTGAGAAATACAGGAGGCGAGCACATTGGCATTCATTTTTACAGTATGATCACGACTGGGGTGTTTTTGAAGTTCGCACCGTTATCCATCAACACCGGGGGAATAATATACCCACCGTAAATGAAGCCAGCAGGTTATGTTCATGTGGGAAATGGATCATCTACCACATGTCGTGCTCACATTCCATGAAGTGCTTTCAACATACAGGTTTAGGGGCAACCAACTATGTTGGTAGGCAATATAGTGTTGCTGCATACTTAAACACATATAGTGGGCAGTTGCAGCAGTGAGTGCTGAGCATTATTGGCCGTCGGAACCATTTAAAATGTTGTGTAACAAGGACTATTTGCGCAAGCTACAAGTGCAAAAGAGAACGCGTATACGGAACCAAATGGATGTTGGTGATACCGTTTATGCGCGTAAATGTGGCATATGCTCACAAATAGGACACGATCATCATAAATGTCCTTCAGCTGGTTGGGGAGCGGTGGTAATCCAACTTCTGGTGCAAGTTCATCTAATGTGCCCAACTATCAAGGATACACGTAGTGTTTTGTTTTCGTAATGTTTTTTGTAATAAATGTATGTACTTATTTATGTTGCAAATGTATCAAATAAAATTATGTTTCCATTATTGTTAAATATTATTGATATTTAATATTTTTCAGTTGAGTAAATTAATGAATTTCTCCCCCCCCCCCCCCGTTCATGTAATTAAAAATTAGAATTAGATTAAAAAACGGAAAATTTTTACGTTCACTTTCGAGTTTCACTATATAATTATTAGAAAACTACACTGTCAGAGGATGAAGATGTTTGATAAATAAGTGAATATATATAGCGCGGTTAAATACTACGTTAAGTGTGTTGTCTTGTCGATCTGAAAAACTGCTCGACTGCTAAACAGCTATTTTGTATCAGAAAGAATCTTTAACACGCGAAGCATAGCGCGGTTAAATATTACGTTTTGTGTGAATATATATAGCGCAGTTAAATACTACGTTATGTGTGTTGTCTTATCGATCTGAAAAGCTGCCCGACTGCGAAAAAGCTATTTTGTATCAGAAAGAATCTTTAACACGCGAAGCATAGCGCGGTTAAATACTATGTTCTGTGTGAATATATATA